TATTTATTTATTTATTTATTTATTTATTCATTCATTCATTCATTCATTCATTCATTCATTCATTCATTCATATATATTTATCTGCCACCCACCTCACAAAACGTGACTCTGGGCGGTGTACAATAAAGCCATAAAACAGTAATTAATGTATAATTAAAACATTAATATTATTACTATAAAAAACTAAAGGGCTAGGGGAGAGCATTAGATGTTACAAGCAATGTAGCCACCTCATTAAATTCCCATTTCCATAAGACCCCCAAGTCTGTTGACATAACCAAGTTTGAGGGATTTCCAGAAGGACATCAAGGATGAGGCCAGTCTCACTTTGGGCTGGGGCCAGATGATGTTCCACAGGGCAGGTAGAACAGCAGATAAGACCCATCTCCTGGGTCCCGCTAGACGTACTTCCTTAGCAGATGGGACCCAGAGCATACCTCTTCTGCCAGACCTGATGGAATGGGTAGAGGTAATCAGGAGGAGGTGATGCCTCAAATAACCCGTCCCCATGCCATGAAGGGCTTTAAAGGTCAAAACCATCACCTTGACTTGGACCTTTACTGTGAAACACATGACCCACCCACCAGCAACACTCCATTATTTGAAACCACAATGACTGGATCAAAATATCCAGTCATGGAGAATCAGTTTCAAGCTTAAAAGAACAGGAATGGTTCCAACTGCTCTGACTCAGGGCTGACAGTACTATTAGACAATCTGAGGCAATCAACACAGGAAGTATACTGGAGGAAAGCAGCAAAAGCCTCTCGGTTATTTTTCTTGACCTTGCCAGTCTGCTGCACTAAACAACCTGTCCTGCACCTCCTAAGTCAGTATTCTGCCCTCAGGGGAAAGTAACATTGCTTTATATTCTGCATTAAAGTAAAAGTCAATAACCCAGATCATGTCTGTTCATGGAACTGAGTACTAAAGAGAAAGTTTTATTTTTTGGCCTCAGGCAATAAAAACATCTTAGGATGACCTTGTGAACTAGTCTCTTACCTACCTCAAGAACTGTTGGGCATTGCTGGAGCAACTACTGGTCATGCTCTGACCTAAATCTCAACTACACTAAGACTTTCCACACTGTTATTGGCTATACCACGCATCCCCAGTATAAGAACAAGTTCTATTCCCAAGATCTGTCCTTAAGTCGAATTTGTATGTAAGCCAGAACAGTATTATTGTATAATAAGTTCAGGTAGTCCTCCCTTAACGACCGTTTAACAATGGTCCAGAGTTACGATGGCCTTGGGAGAAGTGCTTTACAACCCCCACAGTCATGCAATCGCAATTTGTGACATTTTAACAATGGTTGTTAAGCAAGACATATGGTTGTTAAGCGAATCACTCTGGTTAAGTGGATCACATGGTCATTAAGCAAATTCTGGCAAAAATGTCCATTGGGGAAGCTGGATTTGCTTAACAACCATGTGACTCGATTAATGACTGCAGTGATTCACTTAACATCCATGTGACTTGCTTAATCTAGCTCCCCAATGGACTTTTTTGCCAAAATTCGCTTAACGATCATGTGATTCACTTAACACCATGTGACTTGCTTAATGACCGCAGTGATTTACTTAATGACTGTCATAAAAATGTCGTAAAATCAGCTCTGATTCACTTAATGACCAAATTGCTTAGCAACCTAAATTTCAGTCCCTATTGTTGTCAGGTAGCGAGGACTACCTGTAGTATTGTGTAATGAACCACTGTGTATTTAACTCGAATTTTGCTGCAATAGGCTCCATTCTTAACTATGCAAACCATGTGTTCTTAACTCGGGGACTATTTGTAGTGAGGAGTTCTCAATACAATGCTGTTCTCTTTGCATCATGCTGGTATTGATGTATAAAAAAAGGTTCAAGACACCAAAAACAATATAATGGTCACTGTTATTATATCTGTAATTACTCAGCTCTGTTGCAGTTGTGTGGGACTGGAAGGTAGAATGATGAGAGTAATGCT